TCGAAATCCTCCCGAAAACGGAGAAAAGAATACTGATCTGCCCTTAATCTATACATATCCGGCACGAATATCTCGCCATCCTCGAGATTTAATGACGTTCCAAAATTGCGTGTCACCTTCCGAAAAGAGGAAGCACAAAGAAAACGTGTCCGCCCTCCGTCGTTCCTCCAAGTTCCCCGGAAGCTACGACCGGGGAAATTCACACGTGGTAATTCTCGCGTGACATTTCCCTAATACGATCTCGATAGATCAAACCTTACAAACACGAAACTTATATCCATATAATAATCGCGCAATCTAACCTAACCTAACGAACAGTTTCATAATTTAATTTCCTCCAATTTCGCGTTTGGAATTTAATATAATTATTATCGTAATTATCCTCTCCGATCGTTCTTCCCTGATCAGAAAGATCAGAAGATCGATGATAAGTATAGATAATATCAATACGCGTTTCCTCCGCGACACCAATCAGCGTGGTTCCTTGGCCTAGTAGCGAGCACCTACGGAGAAAATGTACGACTCGTGTGTCGCGTCGGTGTACAGGATCGACCGATCGATCGATCGATCGCGGGCTACGACAACGCCAAAGAGCGATGGGTCTGGCCGTTGTACGATAGGGAATCCGTGTCCTCGAATCTCGCGTCCTCGTCCGCCAGATCGACGCCATAGTTGCTCGAGGTGTTGTCCTCCTCTGTAACAAAGGGGCAAAGGGTGGTTATTAAATTAAAATCTTGTTGGATCGAGCTCCGCCTCGATTCGATATCTGCCCGCGAAATTCGATCGTTATCTTCGATTCGATGAGAATTCGAAACGAATCGTGGATCGGATAAGTGTTACGTGAGATTTTTTTCTCTTGGATTTTTTCATCTTTTCTTTCTTCTTCTCCTTCTTTTTTATTCTTTTTTCTTCTTCTTCTTCTGATTCTGCGCGTACGGTTACGGTTGATTTGTTGTATCGTGGGCGATAATGAATGCCGTTAAACTGGTTATCACGTATGATTTTATGCGTTTCTTCTCTTCTTCTCCTTCTGATCGTTATTATCGTGCTTGTTGATCGATGACGTGACACGTGAGCGGACGAGAAATTGAATTGTAAATGACACGCGAGAGTTAATTCATCTTTGCTTTCTACCATATGGTTATGGACGAATGGATAAGCGATATGGCGGTAGGGTAAAAGAGAAGATATATATATAAGTACGTAGAATAATTGTATAATATTTTTCGTTAGTAGTTTCACACGATTTAAGTTATTTAATTTAATCTAATATTGATATGATGCAAAGATAAAATTTTTATTTTTTTGAACGTGACATTGAACTGATCGATATATTATTAATTATGATTTCTATTGTAGTTAATCTTTTTAGTTGCTAGCCTTTTCGTGCATCTGCCACATCTACTTTTAATCTTAGTTTTTAATAATAAATTTATAAATTGAAATGTATCAAAGTATTTATATAGAATACTTATCAGTTTAAAAGATACTTTGATTTTAAACGAACTTTAAAATATGAATGCCTTTTAAAAATATTTTTTAAAATAACGAATTATCGAAATAAATATATATAGTAAATGAATTTTGATAGATTTATAAAGAAAAATAAGTTTAAAAATTTTTAAATCATTCCATTTGCATCAAACGTATACGTTACTCGAAATCATTTTAATCATATCCTATGAAATTTTATTCTATCGTTTTAGAATATGGCTAGATACAATTGCACGAAACATTCTCTTATTATGCTCTTTTCAAAGAAACCGCGTTTAAAGTTTTATTTGAGAAAATAACATTTCACGTGCACCAATCTAATAATATGAGTCGACGTAACACACAATAAATATTAAATCTCTTTCCTTTCGACTTACTTTTAGACTACTTTCATTCACAATGTAGAATACGATATAGAATAATATATAAATATATATATTAATATAAGAATAAAAAAAAATTGAAAGTGATTTCGCTGTTGCACACAGAGGAGAGAATAATATATGGCACAATACAACTTCGATAAATATTTTACGTATAGATCGACAGTTCAAACGAGCCACGTTCCACGCGTTATTCATCATCGATATTATTCACTGTCGTTCAATAAAAATTTCAACACCGAATGCGTGTCACGAAGTTGAATTTATCTACACTCGACCTAACAAAACCCAAACGCTGCACCGTTACTTCGTCTTTATGGTTTGCTGCGTAAAGACAATGCAAATTATTCAAAAGCTTCTGTTCACGATCTCTTTTAGAATTTGCGTAACAGTGAACCCGTCATTGTATTATTTCCTGATGTAATTGCGATATATATATATGTACGAGGATTTGCGGCATGAAAGAAACTCTCGTTTAACTGCGCCCATTATAATTTAGAGAAAGGAGCTTATACTCTATGCGTTATTGTGCGAGAGAACAATTATTGAAAATAATAAACGCGTGAAAAATATGATATACGAGAATAGAATGTAGGAAACTGTCGTCGTTACGTAAATTTATTTGTTTATTTTCACTGTAACTGCAAAATATGATATGCAGATACGATAAATGTACAAAGTTATAATCGTTATAAAAAAATTTTAAGCGTTACAATATAATTTCACTTGTTTATTTTATTATACAATTGTGCGAGAATGAGCTTAAGATACTTGGGCTCTCTATTATCCATTTAATAGTCATAAATAAATTCTATATTCTTGCATATATTAATGCGAATAATGCAATTATATGCAAATTTCAAATTGAATAATTTCTGATTTAACAATTATTATGTAGGAATATATTTTATTCGTTCTTTAATAATATAATAAACGAGAAAATTATTTTATTATATTGATAGTTTATAATAGTTTGCAGTAAAAACATGTTTCTTGTATTTTGATGCAAATAAGTGATGATCTTACATTATTGGAATATATTTTAATTACTTAGAATGTGATATACGAGATATCATTGACAATTTTATCCTCATCATCAAAAATTATTTTATTATATTGATAGTTTATAATAGTTTGCAGTAAAAACATGTTTCTTGTATTTTGATGCAAATAAGTGATGATCTTACATTATTGGAATATATTTTAATTACTTAGAATGTGATATACGAGATATCATTGACAATTTTATCCTCATCATCAAAAATTATTTTATTATATTGATAGTTTATAATAGTTTGCAGTAAAAACACGTTTCTTGTATTTTGATGCAAGGAGGTGATGATCTTACATTATTGGAATATATTTTAATTACTTAGAATGTGATATACGAGATATCATTGACAATTTTATCGTCATCATCAAGTAATTCTATTTATTCTGTTTATTATTACGATTATTTGTTGGTTACGAAATTCATGATACGATAAACGATAATAAAATATCATTGGTGTAGAAATATCTTTCTTACTACATTCATCTGCATGTCTATTCTATTTAATATAATTTTTAATCATTCCGAACTTGTTAATAACGGGTACAAAAATATCGTGGCGCAAGAGATTATAAATAGATATTGGCAATATTAACGAGATCGTGATCGAAGTAAAATAAGTTTATACTAGTGGCAATTCCAGAAGCTGATATAAGCTTTATTGATATCGTAGATGTGGTAAATAGAGCATGCCACGAGTTCGATAAATTCTATCGCGATTTAAAAAAATCTTGGGTCGTATTTGAGATAAAAGTCGGAATAATTCACGATGCAAGGAAGCTGATGCGTAAACTCTCCCGTTTATGCGCGACATGCAACAGGTTTCTACGTCTACGACTCAAATGTCTACACATACGCGCGTGGACAAAAGCATTTTATCGACAGAAACAAATGAAAGAATTGTTTTAAAAGCTTCCTTTCTTTCTCTCTCCCTTTTTTTAACATAATTTACAGACACGTTCAAAATAATAATAAAATCTGAATTTTAATATTATATAAAACTAGAAAATAAAATTATTCGATGAATAACTTTCTTTCTCGCAAAATTAAAAAAATATATCAATATCTTCCGTTCAATTTTAAAAAACTCAAAGTTGAGTATTGAATTTTTTCATTTAAAAATATATTATTCTATATATATACTAATTTTTATTAAAAAAAAAAAAAAAGAACATACAAGAGAATTGTATAGAAATTATATAGAAAAGGCCACGCTTCGTTGCTTTTAGTGACCTTGAAATATATTTGTCAGGAATAATATTCTGAACAACTTTTCCTTATACGTATAACCGTCACTTCGTATCATACTTTATATTTTCAGACTGCGTTCGAGGTAGGTAATAAATAAATTTTTGAAAACCGGACACCGAATTTGAACGTAAGAAAATACGTTTTTAAAAAAAGTAAAAAGTGACAAGAGCGAGTTGGATAATATTTTTTGAAGGGTCCGATCACATATTCATGTTTCGACCTGTGTCGTGACTGTCATTCCTCATGCATATGAATTCTTTTTAACCATTTTATTGTAACACGCCAGCAAAAATAGTCTTAAATAACCTTGAAAGAAAATACTGTAAAAAATCCATACTGTCATAAATTTTAACTGGATATTTTTTAATTATTTTTGACCCAAATCGTTTTGCAAAGCATCCAATAGTTAGAATAGATCAAACTGAAGCGTGCCTCGATCGTCGTAAATCCAACCTAACTTAAACGAAATCCTAAATTAAACTTTTCAAAAATATATATATCATAGTTATATACATATTATTAAGTAATTTTACATATAATTCTTAAAGCTGAGACTGAATACCAATTACAATTATAATATAATTATATAGTATAAAGAAAAGCTGTTATTTTTTCTTCAATAAAATGAAACTCGAAGATTTTAATTCCTTCCTAAACATTCGAGTTAACAAAATTTAACTGCACTTCGAGAAAATATCATCGTACAGAATTAGATTAGATTTTTTGAATTTCTATAGAAACTTTTATCGAGATATTTAAAAAAAAAAAAACCAATGTATACCAATATATTATTGAAGAGAGATTGAAAAAGGAACGAAAACAGTTGGTACAACAAATATAATAAAAGTTTCATGAAAAATTGGTCGAGTTACCCCTGCCGATTTCCATGTTGTAACAAGAACGATAGGAAGCGTAGCGTTGCGAGAAACGCGAGAGTGCACGCGAGAGAGGAAGGCATCGGCAAGCGGAACTCTAGAATTCCACGGCTAGCTCTCCTCTGGGTTTTCGCGATTGACTGTGTTTAACGGGCGAGACAAGCGAGCGCGTGGGCGCGTATATTCTCAGAGGCGACTCGAACAAGGCGAATTCCACGCTGGATTACGACGATCGCTTGCTTCACAGACGGCTCGTGAATGGCCCACGCCTCCGAGAGAAATAGATAAATGACCAGACGCGTATTCCGCTTTATCACGGCATGGGAAACGCGGCCCCTCGACATCGGCGATCCCTTGCTAAATGCAAAATGAAATCGGAATGGAAGTGTCGACCGCCAAGCTGTTACTGTCTATGCACGCCGAGAAGAGTTTCGTTCCCTCTCGATGAAAAACGTGTTGACGCTCTTTCAGCATTCTACTTTTTTCTTTCTTTTTTTTTTTTTTTCTTTTTAATCGTTTCTTCTCCTCTTCTTATATCTCTTTACTTTTTGCTTCATCCGTTTTTATTCTGTTTCTCTTTCGTCGATTTATTCTTTCTGAACCGTTCTGATTTGTGAACTGCGAATGTTTATGTAAATTTATATTTTTACAAACACGATTATATTGTTGGCTGCCAACATCAATTACGCTTAGTTACTGGGAGTGTACTCGAGGTTGACAGTTAAGGTGTTAAAGAAATAGGATCGAGATAAAGGCTTGTTTTATCGTAGAAATGGTATAACCAGTATTTTACGTTGTTTTTTTATGTATTTGTTTGGTAGATTTATATTTTTCTTGCAGATTTTTCATAGGTACACAAATATTTCTAGATTATTGATTGGAAGATTAATTTAGTTCTTTTAATTTTGTTGATTGCTTGATGATTTTTTCATTTTCTCTTATTCGTTATGTTTTCTCAGATAGAATACTAGTAAATTTGAATTCCATGCATATTTTTATTCGTATAACAGAATCCCAATTCAAATTTCAAATTCAAAAATAACTTTTTAGAAAATTTAAAATTTTCTAAAATTGAATTGGTCATTTCAATTATGTAGAAATATTTCAATTTTTTAATAACATATAAACGTTGTAAATAATAAATTTTTCTTGATTGTTCAATACATAATATGTATATAATATATTTTTTAAATTAAGTAATTAATTTAATTAGGAATTTTAAATTTAAAAAATTTAAAAAATTGAAATAATAACAAACGTATTAATTTTCGTAAATGTTTCTCATATAATATAATAAGAAATTTATTATTATTTATTGCAACATTTAATTACAAAAAAATTTACTTACATCTTATTTTCGTATTTTTCTCCTGATCTAGATTTCATCTTTGCATATCAGATTTTTATAATTATATAAAACCATTACTAAAACGATAATGAAATATGATATAATTAATCCTAATTAATTTAAATGTTGCAATAAATACGATGTTATGCAAATAATTTTTGCAATCATACTATAATAATTTCGATCGATTTCATTAATAATTTTGAAACGAAAACAAACGAAAAGAAAAGAGAAAAGCAAAAACAGATAATAATAATGTACAAAACAGGAAAAAGAATCGTGCAAACCGATCGAGAATATTCGAATATTCGAATACGTGCTCAGCATCGAGCAAGACTACTCGAATACAGAGATAATTTCAATAGACTACGGCCGGAACAACAGTATTTTCATTGACCAGTAAACGCGTGTTATCTACGTAATCGCGTGTCGAGGACTTACCGATATAGAGAGGAGAGGTGTCGTAGGCGTTGCAGGGGCCGGCGTGTCGCGTCTCGAGGACGAAGCCGGTAACGCAGGCGTCCTTGACGATGTGACACCAGCTTGGATAGGTGATATTGTTGGTGGCGCACAACATGGTCGCCGATGGGTCTCGATCACGGTGTGTCCGGTTCCGGACGCGCTCCCTCTTCCGGGGACAACGATAGGTGCAGGTCACGCAACGTGGCCGGCCCGACTTCATCTCCGACAGACACGTCTGCCCCTCGCGACAACGAATCGTGGTACAGTCTGCGTTCTCTGCAAAGGAAGAAACAAGAAGAGAATAGTCAGCTCGAATCTTTTTTGGAAATTATTTTATTGATTTATAAACTTGATTTATAGATTATTGATTTATAGATTTGAACAATCGTGTAATAAGTTTATAATAGAAATTTGGGTAATATTAATTATAAATTATATATAATTATTAATTATATATAAATTTGGGGAATATTAATTATCGTTTGGTGAAAGAAATGTCATATTTTTGATGAAAAATGAATAAATCAGGGTGTTTATGAATAATTGTATATTCTTGTATAAGAGAAATTTATTTTCTCTTGTTTTTTTCTTTTTGTAATAGAGAAGAAATTTAAAACAATAGGAATTTCTTGTGTTAAAAATTGTTTAAATGCGAATTTTTTAACGTGTCTTTAAATGTTAAAAATGTTTTTATTAATTAGTTTGAATAATGGAAATGATTGAATAGGTTAATGATAATATTTTTAGTCAAGAAAAAAATATATAATCATTGTAAAATCGGGGGACATTGAAAGAATATTTTAATAAAATAAAATTTCCACATAAGAGGAAAAGAATCATAATAAAATGTAAGGAGATTACAGATCTTTATGCGAGTATGAAAATTTTATTAATTGTGCGAAAGTTTCAATAATATCAAAAATAAAATTTAAATTATTTAGACGAGAATTTTCAACTTTTCAAATTATCGAACGAAGCAAATCTTTTATGATATAAATTTGCATAAATATTCTTAATCCATCTGATGATTAAGATCGATGTGTTTGGCACTTGAGTTTATTTTAGCGAATAAAACGGTACATCTTTCGGTGTTTCACAATTTTTCAGACAAGATGAGATTATAGATATGCGATGTATGCTTATGAGCCCGGGGATGTGTATTTTGCAAGCCGTTAGTGGGGGATTAAGTCATGTTAGAGATTCGTTTTTGTTTGTATAACTGTTTCTGCTTTTTTGTCTCGTTGGAGGATGATGTCATTCGAATCTTCTTTTTCCTGTGTTAAAAAAAAAGTTATAATGGAATTACATTCAATTAAATAATCGTCTTCTTTTTGCTGTTGCTTGTATTGTAAATAATTTTTAAATAATTATTACAAGTTAAATTAATATATTATTTTAGTTTGATTATAATTACTGATTTTTTTTTATCGTTCAGGAGAAAATTGGAACATTTTAAAAAGACATCGTACAGTTTCTACGATAATACAAAAATTTTGAATCAATGAAAAATACATAAAATATCACATCGAGATATCAAATTCATAATTTCGAAAGTAGAATTCTAATAAAAATTACCAGCAATAATGATTCTTTTCTATGACAGCATCAGTGTTTGATAATATATACACACACATATACATATATATATATGTTTATTTTATTTTTTTAAATAAAATTTCATCATCAAATATAGGCATATCTCTTCTAGACATGTCTCTAGCCTTTCATAAAATGACTACATATCCGGTTTTAGACCGAGAGTATTCTTCTTTTTACTTTAAGGTAGCCGTTACATCAATAGTATGGTTATTAGCAATAAGATGTAGAAAAGAACGGAATATGGTGCTATATTATTATGTTGATTATTTTTTTATTCTTCAAAGAATCTTTGAATCTTTTCCTCTATGTTTGTCTCTAGAAACAGGTATAATTCCATTTAAAAATTTTCATTTTATACGCATAAAATATTTTCTATATATTTATATTTATCGTTTAATAAAATTGACATGATTTAAAGTTTAATATTCCAAGCAAAATATTAATATCATCACGTACTTCTATATCTAATAAATCAGTTTCTTTCCCCATTTTAAAAAATTTCATATTTTTCGTATCATTCCAATTTGTCCTTTCTTATTTTCAATTTAAACATTTTTAAACCAATTTCGATCAAATTCCTTTTCTACTTATATAAATTGAATAAAAAATGAAGATTATCTTGCATAGCAAATCCAACATCGATCAATATTCCTATACAATCGAATTAACTCGTTCACCTAACATAATCATTAAGCGAAAAAAATCTCGATAAATCCTCCATAAAAAAAAAAATAACAATTAGATCACCTTTCGAAACAACAAAAGCTCGAGAATCGTTTGAGAAATGCAAGTTCACGGCCATTCCTCGTACCAAGACCTTGAGAAATCACACCTTGATTGACCTTCCTCATCGCGGAAGATCGAGTGGCAGCTAAAATCACGGATGTGGATTGATTTTCGCGAACGCGAGACATCATCGGGGAACGTGCACGTTACATAATAACTGTATGTATGGCACTGAAAGGAACTGGCTAGTAGTAGAAGGCTACTCTGACGAGGCAGAAACGAGAGACAGGTTCAATCGTCGAATTAGACGCGCTCTATCTTCGTCCACTCGGTAGATTCGTGCGGTGACTCGTTCGCAGACACGATTACTGCAATAATATGTCGTTACACCTACTTGGGTCAATGGCCCACTTCTCACGGGGGGATCGTGTAATGTATTGCTCATTTTTCATCCTGCCAGTCGTCAACGCGTACGCGACCCGATGAAACGTTACGCAATTCGTGCATCGACCGTCCACCTTCGAATAAATAATCACTGGTTGACGGATCAGCTATATATATAAATTGTTCTAGAATTTTTTTAAACTTTTGAACTTTTAACTTTTTTATATTTTCGAATAGGTAGCAGGATGTTATTCATGATATAATTATTTGTTTGGTTAATCTATTTTAAAATTTTGAAAGTAAAGTATATATTGATAATTTTTATTCTTTGTCAATTTTATATTTAGAAATTATTTTTTTTCATAAATCTTTTATAGATTAAAAAAGATCAAGAGGATTTCTATATAATTAATTCCTATTTTTTAGTAGGAATTTAAAATTTAAAATATTGTAATTAATCAATTCTTTCAATAACGTTAATTTTTTTCAAACAATACTTTCCTATTATTTTTTTCCTTGAAATTACCCCTCCTTTCGTTTCATAATTTCAATAAAAAGAATCGTATAAATTTATGAATATATCAAAAAGAAAAAGAGAGAGAAAATAGCAAAAATCCCTTTTCGATTAAATTTACGATACAATTTAATTCCAAAGGAGTACGTTTAATCGTTATTTACAAGTCCAATAACACAGATGGTCCAAGTCCATAACACGATGCCATATATTGATCTGTCACGGGCCACGGTTGAATATCAATTATTCCCGGGCATCGTATGAGATATTTGTTGTCTGCCGGACGTCTGACGTACAAAATGGCGGACGTAACATTCTTTGTCTGGTCTAGGGTTCCTAGTGCACGTGCAAGCCACGATCGGAGCAATCATCGTATCACTTGCTTGTGTAGTAGTAGTCTGTGTTGGCCGTACCACGTGGCTGTACTAGATTAATATTAAGTGATTCACGCTCCACGTAATGCGATCCATGTTGTTAGACACGATGCTTAGGCTACGTGCGAGTACTTTTATATGAAAGTCTGCACGATCCGCTGGATCTCATTGCCTGTTACATGCTGGTTAATGTTACATTGTTGTACATTGAGAGACATCTGTTTAGCGGGAGCAATTGAATTTATTAAGACACATTACGCAAATTGTAGTACAACGAACATTATACTAATGAGAATACGGAGCTGCGCCTTTATTATTAAAAAAATATATGAGGAATGTATCGATAATGTTCATTCCGAATGAAGAAGTTTCTTCGAAAAATTTTTAATGAGATTAATCTATTATTATTTTATTTTATTTTATTTTTTTTTTAATTCAATATATCAACATCGTGTAATCGTGTTTATCGTGCATTTTTCAGCAGATTTTTTTATTTTAGTTATATCATATTATCTTCTCAATTCTTGTTATATTACATCACATTATTCTGACGTATATGATTCTGACAAATTTTATTTTTTTTTATTTCTATAACGATTTTGATCATGACATATATGATGTTTTATTCCTGTTGTCAGTATTAAACTATTTTATTTATTTCAAGTACAATTTATTTATTTCGATTCTTTTTATTATTTCTAAAAACTAAAAGTTATAATTTTTGTCTCAGAGATAATAATATTTTTATAAATTATATCGTATTTATACAAATATAAAATAACATTTTTATATTTGTATTAGGAATGACTATTATTCTCATTGGTATTAATTCAAAAATTCATTAGAAAAATTATACTAATATCTTTTTTCAAAAAAGAGAATAAATGTATTGTATTTTAATTGTTAAAAGTTTCTTCAGATTTTTCCACCAAAATATTGCTTCATTAGAAATTTCCTTAAATTAAATATTTTATTATTTCTATCATTGTTTCTCAATTATATGTATGATTATGTCGAAATAACATGTTGTTATTTCGATATAATGAGTATTTAAAATTTTTTTAAAACAAGAAAAAAAAAAGAAATTTATTATCGCATTTATAAGACGACAATTCCACAAAGTAGATCACAAAGTATCAATAAATAAGATTGTCGATGAATAAATAGATACACTTCTTAAATCAAACACTACATTTCACTTGTCATTTCGTAAAGAGATATCAAGGTAATCGTGTCGGTTCTATGCACGTTTCCGTACTATAATCAGCACCTACATTGTGTCAATGCTATACACCAGGTTGAATGACCAATGACCCTCGTACATAAGATATTGCATAACATTACGTTCAGTTTCTTAGTCATTACGTATCAAACGATACGGTAAATCGCAGTGACTCGTTGCCTTTGACATTTAAATCATTCACTATGTACATAACAGCAATCGTATTTCCACCGCGGAAAAATAAGCGAAAGAAAAGTTTATCTAGACCATTCTAGATTATTACACACTATTTATAATGATGATTGCATTTCTCTCTTCTTTCCACGAATTCTAAACTTCTCCGGAAGTTGATAGTCAAATGGATTTATTTTATATTTTTACTTGTCTCGTTACTTTCTTATTAAATATGCAACAAAGTGTTAATATATTTATTAGGACGCTTTTAGAGGATCAATTT